GTTCGTTGCAGGGCAGACATTTGGGCAGAGCTATGAAAGACTATGAATAAATAGAAATCAGGATATGATTGAGAATAACCCAAGAAGGCATAGCTAATGCCTTACTTGTAACTGTTCATTGCGTAATTTATCTGTGTTTGTATTTTATAAAAGCCAAATAACCATGTCACAATTAGTTGAAATTACATGAAAAGAAAGCATGAATGTAACTTAAATCAATTAATAGACGTACATAAGACTATCCATGCAAGAACATAGTAGTGTTCATCTGTTGTTCTGCCTCAACATTTGCTGTTCAAGAGTCGATTTTTCGTTATCACAGATTGATTTAGAAGCAAACCATCATTCAGAGGAGCGTTGGCTAAGATAATGGAAATCACGAACAAAATGAGAGTCTAAGGGAAGAATGAGGATAAGGGATGGAAACAGAATTGGGTACAAAGTGATTACGAGTTTAGCAGGATGGATTGGCGAGTGAGTAGGTTGTGGAAAGGCATGAAACTTTTCCATAAAATTCATATACATGTGGCCTCGCGAAGATATTACGGTTTGTTCATTTATTGATTTATTGGTTCAGAGGAAAATGGGACGTTTTGCGTACAACATATATCAGTGGAGATAATAAAACAATTCAACTTCAAAGAGTAACACAACTTGCAACAGAGTTTTTATCTTATTTGTAAGGGTTCGAGCATCCACCTTAATGCAGTGCGAGAAAGGCGATCAGGTGGTCTGGAAGGCAAGCTTGGACGTCTGTCCGAGTGGCTGTAAGTCCAGCTAGATTGGCTGCTCTGGCGGCCAGACAAGCCAGAGTGGTATAGTTCAGTGGCGATATACGCGCTTCAGTCAAGAGGCTGCGGTATCGGGCATCGAGAAGACACACACCTGATCTATTCGTAGCGTCCAGGTGTGCTCCGGCGCGAACCAAGCACGCAATCAGTGAAGCCTGAAAGAATGGCAACAGAGTAGTGAAGTTTGTGGTGAAAAAATAGATATGATTTAATAAAAAATTTGTGAGCGTGAAAGAAATTAAAAATCTGACAATGGTATTATATCTAATAATAGATAGGATATCGGACTGAATAATAAGATTAATGGACACTGGTACAACTACGATTAAAGGTGCTGATTGCTATTTGATTGGTCAAGCCTCACCTGGCTGTTCAAATGCGTAGGCTCTTTAATTTAGTCCAATTCACTTAGGCTATGTAACCAATTATAGAATAGTAAGTAAAATTGCCAAACTGCACTGAAAACAGCCGGACAAAGAAGACAATCGTAAGTCAATCTCCCCATCTGACTTTTTTAAAACTGTTTTAAACGTTATGGTATCACTCCTAAGTTCTGTGACCCTAAGAGACCCTACCACTCGGATAAGGTAACTGACTATCTCCACCAGGCTTCTATTCAGAAACAAAGTGACACTTATGTTACAGAGAGGAATAAGTTGTTTAAGTCTATAGCTATTAGATCAGAGTTTCAGTATGATCTGGCCAGGATCCTGTCTCCGGAAGATTTTCAAAAGCTCCAGATCATGACTGACAGGAAATCACGTAGAACTTCTGACTTAATAACAAAATGGCATGACGATAAATTGCGTAAGTTTGGGATTATAAGACAGCTTTCTAGGAGACATCCTAGTGGAGGTTATCAATATCTCCGACAA